TAGACCTGCTCTATTTGAAAAGTGTTCCTGAGATAACTTCTGTTATGAATTGGCGCTATACAAATAAAATTGAATTGAATTGAATTGAATTGAATCAATGTAATAAATATTAAAATTACATTACAGTGGTGTGATGCAACACCAGAGGGATATGGAAATGAGGTGTGGAAATTTTGCATACAGAATGTCTTTAATATGTGACACAAGGTTCAGGTTACTATATTTGCAGTTAGATCTGGTTCGGAGACAACATTCCTCTTGACACATATTTTATAAACACTAAAGACAGAGTACAGATTGATTAGGCAAACACTGTCTTATCCTGTGTTTGCCTCATTGTACCTTGTAGCTCTGAATATGAGCTATGTACAGTATGAGAGGAAGACTGATTAAAAGTATAAAAGTATACAGATATGGACAAAGGTAAGAGTCTAAAAAAGAGAAAGCGTAACAGTATGGGAGAAAGTATAATAACTAAAAAGCTTACCTCGTCGAAATGTCTGAGGTAGTATGCAACAATGTAAGACAGGAGACTTTTCATGCTGTCCTGCATGTGGAAAAAAGAAAAGACTTTAACATACATTTTTCAAAGTATGTTAAATGATTCCTCTGTGACTTTTGTGGAAGAAAATGTATTACCGTAATAGTTACATGACATTACTTCCAGAGTTTATCTGTCGGTTTATGCTGGTAGGTTACAAGATCTGAGCTACTTGAGTGGGGTGGGCTGAAAATAATAATGTCATAATGTTTTTGTGCTTTCTCATCATGCAGGTTCCTATTTTTAATGCAATTGATAACTGCAGTAAACTGTCAACTGCAGTTCCATCAACTGTCTAGTGCCTCACTGCCATGAGAATGACAAGGATCCTCAGTGATCAGTAAATTGTTATTAAAAAGACAGTTCAATGCAACTAGAATGTTATCTTAATGTTATTGCATGATGACAATAAATTGGTTTACAAGAATTTTGTGATGAATTAAAAACATTTAATTTAAAGCCTTTTAAGTGTAAGAGTGCTGTATTGTACCTCTTTATAAAGGTTTTTTATTCTACCAAAAATGTTTTGTGTTGTGGGGGTAAAAAATATATATCTAGAGCCCACCATAGAGCAATATCACTACATCACTGTAAGAGGTAAATATAGTTATGTTAACACATCATTTTTAAATTAATTATAAAAATAATTAGCACAACAAAACATGCAAGACACCCCAAGGTCCGGGGTAGAGGAGCAGCATTTTAATGTTTCAGGACCTTTCCCTCTTTACTCACACTGCTCTTGACATCTTTGAGTTTGGGCAGGATATCAAGGGAGAAGCCATCAGCTTGGCCTCTGGTTCGATTACCACCATTCATGAAGTTACCAAAAGCCAGAACCAGACCTAGAACCTTCTTCACTGTCTCACTGTCCTGCAACGCCTGCAGAGGAGATAGAGGTGTGTGAATCAGAGAGTCAGAGTGAGTATGAGAAATGGAATGGAAGAATGACAAAGTATTGACAGATCTATCTTATCTTACACATTTGAGAGATGCTTTCCATACGTGGCAGGCAAAGTGTTTTTGGAAACATTCACATCAAATCTCTACGATTGTTCATTTTAACATGAAATAAAAACTTTTATATAGAAAGCAGCAGAAGAGTACACCCACAATAGCTGGGTCAGAATCAGAATCAGAATCAGAAATACTTTATTCATCAGCACAGGGAAATTTGTTCGCTACAATTGTTCCACTCACACAACGTTAAAGAATAGTACTTATATACAATATCTAACACAATATATACATATAGTAAAAATCGGGCAAAGTAAGATTTTCATTGTACGTATAAACCACTGTTTTTCTTACTGTACATATGACAATAAACCTCTTGAATCTTGAATCTTGAATGCTCACCTTTACTGATGTGTTTATTTTAAAGTAATAATTATTACAGCATTATTTTAATAAATAACTCAACTACAAAAACAAACAATATGATAAACATAAATCAGGTTAAACTGGAATGATCTTCTGTATAACATTAATAATGTTTATTTTAAATGTACAAAAAGTGAAGTGTTTTGATGCCCTAATGATCCACAGAGAAAGAAGTTCTTCAACTGTAGGTTCAGTATCCTTAACCTGGCAACCTAGGTGAGCTTCTAGTCTGGGGAGGAGGTGTTGGGGAGACAACTTGCTACAATGTTATGAATTTGGACTGCAGTATCTATTTCAAACACTTGCTGTGAGTCTTACAGATTGCTCCTTTAAGTACAGAGCTAATGTCCTGACACATGCAGTTAGCCTAGCTGAACATAAAAAATTCAGAAATACACCACCACCTAAAAGACATATAAAGCTTAATAATAATTTTTTTGTAATGTTTGCGTAATCTGTGCACAAGCAGAAACCTTAACAACTATTTGTGGTCTTAGAGGTATTTCTTGGCACAATACCAAATCAGTTTCTTTTTTATGACAGGCATCAAGACGATTAACCTTGTAATACCACAGCCTCCATCTTCTTCCTGCACGATCTGCAGTGTGTTTATTTTCTTCAGTTTGGAGAGATTGACTCACCTTGCATACCCTCTGCAGCGTGTCCAGTTTTCTCATTATGGATGACATGCACTCAGAGAAGCTGGACTGGAAGAGTATGCAGAACACTCTGCCAGAGAAGTTTGGGACCAAGGAGAGCTGGTAGAGAAATCTGCAACACAACAGAAATTACTAGCTACTTTGGATCCAACTAATGTATTCCGCCATCTTTCTACTCACTTTCTCATTCTCTCCTGTGTGCTTTACATTCTTACAGAATGACACACAGCACTTACCATTATGTCTACTCCTTAGTGTTGAAGTGTCAGATGAATAACATCAACTTACTGCTCAGGTTTATCCAGAGATTTGGCATTCTCCTTGTCTTTTGAGGACTTCATGTGTTTTTCAATCTTGTCAAGCTCCTCCTGTTGGGCTCTCTGAGGGAGAGACAAGAGACTGACTCCACCTGTGTCCACATTCATACAGTTCATCCTCACAGCAGCAAGTATACACCAAGGGAATCCACTTGTCTGACATTGTCAGACCCTCAGTTATTCATAATGGGGATTCTATAAAAATAAAGATAATTATCCTCATAAAGTGTAAGCCACATTGAATTAAGTATGATGTCGGTGTGTTCAGAATTGAGAATTGAATTATGACCCCAAGAGAAGTTTGATTTTCAATGCAAATTACTAGAATCTGTGCTACGTAAAGGAGACATATTATGCTCAGGTTCATAATCTAATTTTGTGTGTCTACTAGATTAGGTTTACATGTTATGTTGTGTGTCTCCTACTGCCCATAGCTTCAGGGACCGTATTTCATAAATACT